GTCAGGCAAATAAAACTCTTGTTCCAGTGATCGCATCTTCGTCTTCTGATTTTATTTCTGTAAATATTACCACCCAACAAGCCGATCTCGCCCACTAGCACATACTGACATAGTCCGCAGTAGCGAGTCGAAGGCCAAACAACACAATGATTGATTTTCTACACGTTCAAATTTTAATTGTAATTGTAATTTTAATTGTTTTGTGCACACGCCAGAACTAGCCACCTCATTTGTTGCTGTTTTCCCATCTCTGACGATGGACTCCTGCAGGAGCCCGGAAGCTCAGACCAATAAAATAATGATTCCGGTGTTCGATAAACCTTCTTCTTCTTCTTCTTCTTCTTCTTCTCAAAATATACACGTTTCTGCAATGCGAACATTTGCCTCAAATGAGAGTTTTTCGAAAAATATTAACTCAAAACGACCGTATGATCAGTCTTAATTTGCCCCGGTAATTTTCATGTTTTTGTTTTACTCACTACCCGGTTGTATGTGAATATTCTCTGCCACCTTTCCGTTCCCATCTTTAGATTTTAAAGAACAATTATGATCGTTTATTCTTCGCAGTGAACACCATGTATTCAGTTTTCGTGCAAACTCTCAAGGTTGTGGATTTTAACCCTTATTTATGTTATGCAGACACGGATTCCGGTTCAAAGAACGCTTGGATACTTACATAATTGCCCCTGTTGTCCCTCGACCATACGAACTCCAACTAATACTACATGAACTGCACCTAAAGCCAGCCAACTGTACAAAATAAACAATCTTAAATGTGTGTTAAATCCCCTACTCAAATTCTGATCTTCGAATTTCATCAAATATACAATCTTCCGTACATTTGCCTAGATACTTAAAATATTAGAGCTGGACAGGGTTCATTCATGTCTTATGCTTAACACTCATCGTTCTTAAACCATTCGCGTGATGAGGTCGGTCCGTTGAGGTCATAGGGGAAGGAGAAGCGGGAAGTAATGTAGACTATGAGCAGTTTTCGTGGGTCAAGTACGCGAAGTGAACATCCGAGGTCAAATGCTCCATTCGATGAGACCAATGGATAAAATAATAAAATAGTCAAGATTTAGAAGTTTACACGAAATCTACGTCTATTATGGAGACAGGTCTCATTTCAAATTTTGTATTTCTGGTTCTCACATGTGAGGTAACGTGTTAGGAATGCGATTAGAGGGTGCTGATATGTCGTTGTACGATGAGCTAATCAAAAATAGGTTGGATAAAGTTGGCTGACAGACAAGTGCGCGTCCGCACCCGTGAGGGGGTGGCGCCCGTAGTCCGAGAGCGTGAAAGTCATCGCAACGCCTCCAGCGAGGTGTTTCAGCCTCAGGGAGATGATTGGCCAGACTGGATTGGGGACGGCAGACATTGGTGTGGGCGCACGTGTAAGCAGTCGCAAAAGGTGAGAGGTAGAACGTTCCGCTCGGAGTTGGGCCACTACAAATATATTCTTGTTGGATATTTTCCCCAGAGTAGTATCATGCTGCATCTTTCTTTTCCAGGTGGGATTATGGTCAGAGCGGATTGGTTACTACCCCTACTGTGGAGGAACTCTAATCAGTCCCTCCCTCATTCTGACTGCAGCGCATTGCATCGCCACAGTCTTCGAGGCCTCTGTTGGAAATTTTATTGACATGGAAGCTGCGTCGGGTGGTCAACTTCATGTGCTTGTTGGTGCTCATGACTACACAAAGGCTGATGCGTCGCAGCAGTTACGTCTCGTGCGGTATGCGCTTCTTTACCCCAAACAAAACTACAGTATCATCGGAGAGGGTTATGATATCGCCGTATTAAAGCTCCACGAGCCTATTACTACAGGTAATTGTTTGCGATAGTGATCTAAGCATTTAACGAAGGCCTGTTTAAGAAGTATATTTGGCCACAAAAACGGTTATTAGTTGATACTCACCTATATACAGTTCTGTGAATCCTGCAAACAAATTTCAGGACGAAATTTAATTTGGTGATTTAGCGTATATCTGGACAGGTTATTTTAATCAACTGAGTGGATTAATAATAAGGAGGGCTTTGGTTTGGAAAACTGCCCTCTTATTTAAAGTTATTGGGGGAAATACGCTCTCATTTTTGCTAAATCATGAGTATGTTTAAACAAAAAAGAATTCCGTATGGTATAAGGAAGGACAGCACGAAACTTAATTCTATGTGGAAGAATTCCATAATTAGTAAAAAAGGTGGAATAATAATCCCTTCCAGAACTGGGTAAAAAAAGGTGGAATAATAATCCCTTCCAGTACTGGAAAATTTTGTGCGACGTTGATCAAATAGAACTTAGGCAGTTAAGGAAATCGCATTTATTTTCAGAAACAAGCAGCAATAGAAGTTTAAAAATTATATTAAGCTATTCTGTGAAGTTTTTTTTGCAAAAAATGCAGTAAAAAAGTTCTTGGTAGAACATTTTCTTTTACCGCACAGCTGGTCGTGCGCGTAAACAAAGTTTCTACATATAACCGCGGACACAGCCAATAGAAAACCTTATTGAATGTAAGTCATGTAGAAAC